GGCTTTGTTACAGGAGTGGGTGGGTGAGATTCGGTGGCCTGTGTTGTGCAGGAGGTCAGACTAGATGATCATAATGGTCCCTTCTGACCTTAAAGTCTATGAGTCTATGAGATACTACAGTGATGAGCACAGTTTAAAAGCCTGTATTAGATTAGAATAAAATATAGAATCAAATAGACTATAATAAAACAAAATTGAAGGACCTCTTACTCCACTGACAGGTCTATTGGTTTCGGACCACGTGTGGAGTGCAGTACAGTACTACTCCACCTGTGTAACGGTATCAGAATCTGGCTCTTTATATTATCTCATGCACAATGAAGATTGACCCACTACACGCCCCTTCCCCCCGGCAAACAGGCAAGTTTCATCTGCCTTGGGCAGTGCCTACTGGCTGGTGTGGTTTTGTTTGGAGGCCCAACATCTAATTTAAACTATCCCAGAGGTACCAGTATAGCTGTCTGATGACCATACACAAATGAATATCCTGGAGGAAGAGATCTTTACACAATTGTATTTGACATTCATACAAAGTGCTCTGTTAATATTTGGAGAGGGACCATTAGTGGGTGGCAATGTAGGCATGGAACCAGATTCTGATCTGATCTCAGTTATACTGGTATAAATCCATTGAAGTCAATGGACTAACTCCTGATTTACATCAGCATGAAAATGAAATCAGAATTTGGGCTCCAGGCTTTGGTAGGTGACTGCATCAAACTTGAGCTAAAGCAGCAGATCAGAACTCTTCTCCCCTGAAGGCAGACTGATTATGATATTAAATGCTTATGCCAACACTGTTCTTTATAGTCTTATAATGATTTGTTTTCAAGTGTCCAAGAAACCACAACACATAGGCCCCAGTTCAGCTAAGCACTTAAGAGTTATTGTGGTGTGGCAGTGTCACCATAGTTAAGATTGCATCATGACTTCTATTTAAAAGTCAACCTTTGTAGTACGTCCTCTGAAATTGACATGATTAGTCAGATTGCTTTGAAATCTGGTGTGCCTCAAGAGCGTACAGGGTAGGGCTAGTGACCCAAGCTTGGGGTCATTTGAGACAGGGGTTCTGGAGACATAGGCCCTGAAAAGATTGCAATCTTCAAAACGTTTCTCAGTGGGTTTTCTTTGTGCAGTCTATTGAAGTGATTTGAGTCAAACTGGTTTCCATTTGTCGAGTTTTACCCAAAGAAGTGCATGGCACTCACTAAATATTTGGGGACCCAAACTGAGACCAGTATTTAAGAAAACGAATGTTCTTTACAGTGTGTATGTGCCAGTTCAGAGAAACAGCTAGAGGGTTTCCATTCCCACCACTTTATGGGCTTTAAAGCTCGACTTTTATAAGTGCTTTAGAATTCGAATGGTGACTCAGATTGATTTCAAATTTGTTGTGCCTGATGGGAGTGCAGAGTAGGATCAGTGTTTCAAATTTAGGGTCATTTGTCTGAGGGGTTCCCGAACTACAGCTCCTTTCCTCCCTGCCCCCAAAAACAAAACAAAATCCCAGTTTCCTTCAACGGCCTTGTACTGTAAAACTGAGAGGGACTGATGACTTGATGAGTCACAGACCTTGTTGAGATTGGTGACTATGAATTTACCCTTCAATTAATATAATTAAGGATAAGTTAATCACAAGCACCCACATAAGACAAAAGGCGTTTTGGATCGAGTGCCTGGAGGTGGCTACAATTAGTGAGCCAAGGGTGGCAATTTTATTGGGGGGGAGGGGAGGGAATGTAATGAAAGTGTCTGGGGACAAAATTAGACATGTGAATGTTTCCTGGGTGGGAGAATGGGCATTAGGGGGGTGGAGGAGTGGGGAAATTGGGGAGTGGTGTTTGGCGATGCAGTAAGGGGAGGGGGATAAATGGGGTATTTGATACAGAAAGTACTCTGAGGGCATTCTGCTCCAAAATATATAAATTCTGCACACGATATTTTAAAATTCTGCAAAATTCTGTAAATTTTGTCTATAAATAAATGGGGAGGCTTCAGCATGGCAGTGGGGAGCATGGAGATGGGAGATCACCCTGCAGCCCCCCACTGGGACACGGACTCAGTGGTGAGGCTGCACCCAACCCTGACACAGTGCAAGGGCCGGGCCTGCCTCAGAAACACCCCAGGGCCCTGCTCCTCTGCGCCAGGTGCACCGGGGTGGGCAGGCAGGCTCAGCTGAGCAGGATTGAAGTGTGGAGGGGCTTAGTGTGGGGCGATCCAGGTGTGGGGTGAGAGGGTTCTGTGTGGGGCAATCTGGATGCAGGTGGCTCAGTGGGGAATCTGGGTGCAGGGGGGAACTGGGTGCACAGGGGCTCATTGGGAGGTTCCGGGTGAAGGGGCAATGGGACACTGCAGGAGGATCCAGGTGAAGGTGATTGGGGCTCAGTAGGGAGAGTCTGGGTGTGGGGGGGCTCAGTGGAGGGTGGCTGCAAGGACAGTGGGGTTTGGTGGCGTAGGGGTCTGGGTGTGTGTGTGGGGCTCATCGGGGTGGTCCACATGAGGGAGGTGAGGTTTGGGGAGGGGCATGGGAGGGTCTGGATACAGGGGGGTTGGGTGTACAGGGCAGCAGCTCCCTGTACAGTGACCCCTCCCCCTGCAGCTGAGGAGCGATGGGGGTAATAAGTGGGGGTGGGGGGTACAGAGCTTCTTGCAGCCGGGGGAGGTTTCTGGGGGTGGGTCTGACCCGGCCCCAGCCCTGGCCGCTCCTTTCAGGGGAAGAAGAAGTCCCATCCTCCCCCAGCACAGCTGGGACTAGCCGCTGAGACCGGTGCAGGGTACAAGCCACAGGCCAGGGCATCTCCAGCCCCAACCTCCCACCCCCGTGGTGATTTACCTTTCCACCAGCTGCTCTGGGTGCCCGAAACGATGTGCCCACGCTGATGGGGAGGGGTGCGTGACTGCTTATGTGGATTCCCTTCGCTTCCCCATCAGAAGTCATTTTTCTCCATGGAAGCAAAGAATTCTGCAGGGGACATGAATTCTGCACGCACACAGTGGCGCAGAATTTCCCCAGGAGTAAGAAGGGCAGAGAGATTTGGGGCTCAGGTGAGGGAGGCATGGGAGTTGGGGGCAGTGGAGGGGTGAGACACTGGGAAGGGGATGTGGTGTAAGTATCAGGAGGACTGCGGCAGAATAGGTGCAGGGGCGCCTGTCAGACCCACATTGCTCTATCTACTGTATGTATGCCCAGATCTGGGGGGCTCTTGCCCCTCTGGGGGTCTCTAAGCCCCTCTGACTGCCCCCCATGTGTATGCCAGTGTCTGGGAGTCCCATTGCCCATCTACAGGGGTTGGACCCCCACTCTCCATTACATGAGCTGAATTCTGGGGGGGGGAAGGGGTTGCCCTTTTGAGAGGGTCTGAGGCTCCCTCCCTGCACCCATGTGAGCCAGGATCTGGGGAAATTCTGCCCTTTGAGTGGGGAGCCGAGAACAGGCATATTTCATTCATATCACAGGGCAGCTCTAAAGCACTCAGGAGGGGGAAGGGAAAACCTACTCAGATGATTGGAGCAGTTCACGAGCCTCAGAGCTATTGTTTCAGGTTGTATTAATCTCCAAGGGGTGTTCTCATTCAACTGAAAACATCACATTGAGATGAATAAGACAGTTCACACCTTTCAGAGCCTCCTATGCTGCAGATGCCTGTGTTGTGCCTCTATCCTTCCTATGCAAAGGAAGACACTTTAAAATGCCCTGAAATCCACATGCCGACACAGATTATCGTGAAATTTGCTATGCCTCATGGGAGTGCAAGGTAGGGTTAGTGACCCAAATGTGATGTCAGGTGAGCCAGGAGTTCCAGAAACATAGGCCCCAAAAAGAACTATTTTTCAAAAAGTTTCTGGGTGGATTTTTTTTGCACCGCGCTAGAGAGTAAATGATTGTATTGCTGTGACGCAGGTTAAAAAATGGTCTCAATTGGTAGTTTTTACACATGGTAGTACATGGCACCCACTAAGTCTTTGAGGGATCCAAACGGTGAATGGTGTTAAGAGAACGTACGCTTCTTCACTTGCGTAGATGTGCTATGATTACAGTGTGTATGCACCAGAAAAGGAAAAACCCATGAGAGGGTTTCTATGCAACCATTTTATACTTGCCTGGGTAAGTCAAGGGACTGTGCCAACATCATTGCCCCTGGTGAGCACCCCACCAGTGACAGTTCTAGTCCAAACCTTTATACACCTGGGCAACATAAAGATTTAATAACCATTTTCCCCCTTTAATAGTACTGGATGGAATCCTGTGGGTGGGAGTCAATGGGCTGTAAAAGGTGAACAGCTTGTACATTTCAGCAACTGTAGAGTGGGCAGAGTAAAGGTATGTGTGTTAACGGGGCATTCTGGGGCACTTCTGAAAGAGGGCAGAGTTAGGTTATGTAGGCAACCTTAACTGTGCATTTCTTGTTTTTCAGAAGTTTGTGTTTTGCTCATGTTCTGCAAGGGGATGACATATCACCAAGCAACCTTAACTGTGTGTTAACATAGTTTTTTTGCCACTAAATATGCTTAAATCCCAGTAAGGTTTTTAAGTGCTTTGCTGAATAGTAATAGACTTAAGTACATGCTTAATGATAAGCACATCTTTAACTAGTTTGTTGAATTGGGAACTTACTTTCTAAAAACTCAAGCCTACGCAGAAACAGCAAAAAGTTTTGCTTCCCCCTACTGTTACTCACACCTTCTTGTCAACTGTTTGAAATGGGCCACTCTCATTACCACTACAAAAGTGATTTTTTCCTCCTTTGGTATCCTACTGTTAATTGAATTGTCTCGTTAGACTGACCTCCCACTTGGTAAGGCAACTCCCATCTTTTCATGTGATGTGTATTTATACTTGCTACTGTATTTTCCACTCCATGCATCGGATGAAGTGGGTTCTAGCCCATGAAAGCTTATCCCCAAATACATTTGTTAGTCTCTAAGGTGCCACAAGGACTCCTCGTTGTTTTTGCTGATACAGACTAACACGGCTACCACTCTAATACTAAGCAACATACCTCATTCTTTGATCATCAGGGGGAGTCATTTCCAGATCATGGGTAGGGCCATTCAAACCAATGACATGTAAAGAAATGCTTGGATTTTCCATTCCAGCCTGGAAATTAAAAATGAGAGTACATTACTATATATCTTACAGTAAATAACACCTTACATTTATAGCTATAACCTTTTATCTGAACAGATCCTAAAATGCTTTGTAATCATAATATACACAAAAATATCTTATGAAGTGCAACCACCTCTGGGCTGGAATGCAGAAACTGTTTAACAGTGCACAGAAAAAGCATATAGCAGTTTAGAGCAGGCACTGAAGTATGAGGAACTTAGGATGGTAGGATGTAACTGCCCACATTAAAATTTGGCTAGAACATTGACAATAACATCTACCACATTTGTGAAAAATGTGATGGTATTTTTAGTAACAAGGGTCAGGATCTCAATTTGATGCCTTATCTGAAAATGGCAGGGTGTCCTTAAGCCCCATGTTGGACATTAGTTAAACACTGGCTTACATGAAAGCGTGCCTCCTACCGAATCATCAGCACCACTTCCTGCAGCATCTATGTATTCTCTTGATGTCTCCTATCTTCAGGAGTGGCTGGGTTAGACCTGGCTTAGCATGTGAGATCTGAGGGGACCACCACACAAAGTGAGATGTCTGCAGGAAGCAGCTGTGCAGTACAGTACAACAACATACTATACAGCAGCAGAAAGTAATAATAATCTTCCACACTGGCTTGAGATTTGCACCAGATGCTGCTCACCTGCAGCGACAATCTTCTGTAGGACTCTGTAAAGCAATGCAGGATTGGCCTTTTTCATCCCTAATTCATTTTCTCTCCCTAAAGCTAAGGTGCAGTGTGTCTCAGAAGCCTGACTATCTGTCCTGCCTATTATTCCATCTTGAATTTTACAAGGAGGTCTAAGTACTAAAGTTTCCTGATTGCCCTTTTGATTTAAGGCACAAAACCAACAAATATAATAATTTTGTTTGCAACTTCTCAGATATAGTCATGCCGCATCTTGCATCAAAACCCAACAGATTTTATCCAGGTACAAGAGGGAGAAAGGGTTTAGCCTTTACTTTTTCTCTTTACATTTTTGAATGACTACTAGTAGTGTCAGAAAAATGTACTTTTACAAAGGCAGCAAAAGAATAACGAAGACCACAGTTTAACAGTTCAATGGGGAATGAATGATCTTTTCTCTGTTAATTGCACTGCTTATGAATATGTTCGATTACATATTACCATATCGGAGTCAGCTAGAAACAAAACCATGAAAAATTCAAAAACCGTTGACTGTTTGTTTATATTTTCCCTTACCTTTGGATAATGATATGTTTTAACAGTAGGGTAAAGGCTGCCAGTGTAGACTGGAATTTCCATTGTAGGGACTCTGGAGTCATTTATTGTTGCATATGCTAACCTGGTTCCATCAGGAGACCACCAATGTGCTATATGAGTCTTCAAGATCTCCTCTAATGTAAAAAGAAAAAAGCACCTATTAGAAATATAATGCTAGTTAGCAATGAAACCAAACAGCATAGAGCTGAAGATCCTAGTCTAATCACAGCACATGAAGGATATAACAGGAAAATCAGTAAAAAATGCTCATTAAACTGTAATATCACTAATGAACACAACTGATCATCATTATTCTCAACATATAGGTTACTAGGCATAAATACTGCTCAAGAAACATCAGGTTGCTTATATTATCAGACACATATACCCATGACACCATAAAAGGCACTGCTGTCGCTGTGTTACTGTACACAGATATGTGAATGTACATATTAAGTACATACTGTACATAATGTCATGTCTAAGTGTATTGAGAGTTTGGCCCTATAGCTCATTGCTGGCAACAAAAAGGATGATATTTCATAGCTGTTATGGCCTACTGAAAATGCTTCAGAGATTGAGATTTTATTCTCTTTAAGGAGGTATTGCTGGTCTTAAATTGCTAAAGCACTGAAACATAGATACAAGCACATGTCAAGGACTGAAATTTTTATCTTTCTAATTACTGCTCCCAGGTTTGGAAAAGTTTGCTGGTCTGAAGAGGGCAGGTAACACTGGCACATCGTAAGCTACTGGTCTTTAAAAGCATGTCATTCTGATTACCATCTTGCATTTTATTACCACTTCATTTCTGACAATTTTTTCAAACCAGTATTTTATAAACTGCTGGAGTCAGGGATTAATGCTTCACAGCACTGAATGCTGAGACTCCAGACTTTCAGGTGGCATATATATAATGCAGTAATATCTACTGGTTGTTGAGACATGAGCCACAAAAATTGTGTCATAATTCAAGTGTGTGTGTGTGTGTGTGTGTGTGTGTGTGGTTGGTGGGAAATCAAGATGGTAATCAGAAAGACAGTGTCTTGCAACATGCCAGGCCCAGAACCACCTCTAATGCTTACCTAATATGAATTCCAAGAACCTGTAGTAGTAGCCAGAGCTTGCCTGCCTACACAGCTGTGCCTTTTAGGGCTGAATCCTCTAGGAGCTTTAGCTCTACAGAATCTGTGATTCTTAGTCTCACATCAAAAGAACGAAACCCATCTTCCCGTACAGTAATCTGTACAGCATATGCAATCCCTTCTGCTGTGCTTTAGTCAGGATCACTCCTATGACATTAAACCTCTTACAGAAAATAGATTATTACCTTTCACAAAACTGGAACTTTAGGAAGTCAAGTTAGTGTCTTCCAAATGCCAATAAATAGAGAAGTTTGGGACTTAAAGAGTGATTTCTTCAGCCTTTGTATACATCTAAAAGCTGAAAGCCTCTTTGCAGACAGGATTAGAGAGAGTGTTGGAAACTAGAAGTTATGAAGAAGACTGAAAGCATTCAGAGCTTTGGTCATACAAGGTTTTGGTCCACTGGATCTGTGCACCATACCACACAATAGAGATCCTCTGGTCTGACCAGAATATGACCTCCCTCTGTTGTGCATAGGGATGGGTTTACAGAGTCCCCATATGCCAGATCTGCACTATTGTCACTACACACAGACACATACAACTTTTAAGTGTTTTTTGGGCTTTCCACAGTGTGACACTGACAGACCAGTCCACCCGTGTATGATCCATTTGTCAGTATTTACCTATATCTTGTTAGAAGTTTAACAATGTAACCAGATTAGCTTGTGGATGCTAATTCCCTGCCATGTCTGAATTTCCTTACATCATGAATGTGGATGGGTCAGTTAAGCTTAAAATCAAAGATGTGAGATAGTATAACTGTGTATGCATAGTAAATAGGATGTTAAGTTCAAAGTGATGAGACAGTGTGTGCTCAACAAAGAAGAATCCTCAGTCACATGCTGTGCTCCAAACACTTAACAGCCCACTTCAGCTATAAAAGTGAAACCTTGGGCCTGATCCTTTCATCTCAGGTCTGCTTAAATTTTAACAGGGAAGGTCTAAAGCAGGGGTCTCAAACTCAAATGACCACGAGGTCCACATGAGGGCTAGTTCATTGGCCCGAGGGCCGCACCACTGACACCCCCCCCTCACTGCCCCCGGCCCTGCCCCCACTCCACCCCTTCCATGAGGCCCCGCCTCTTCCCACCCCTTCCCTGCCCCCATTCCAACCCCTTCCCCGAAGTCCCCACCCCAACTCCGTCCCCTCCCTGCCCCCAGAGGCTGCATGAGGGGTGTGGCGGGGGCTCAGGGCAGGGAGTTGAGGTGCAGCAGGGGATTGGGGTGCAGGCAGGGGGTTGGGGTGCAGGAGGGGTGTGGGATGCAGCAGGGGGCTCAGGGCAGGGAGTTGGGGGGTGGGGTGCAGGAGGGCTTCGGGCTCCGGGGTGGCAGCGGCACACACCAGGGCAAGGGCCAGGGCAGGCTGCCAGCCCCGGCCCCGCTCCGGGAAGTAGCTGGTACCATGTCCCTGTGGCCCCTGGAGGAGGGGGACGCAGGGCTCCACACACTGCCTGCCGCTCCTTCAGGTATCTCTCCCGAAACTCCCATTGGCCGCGGTTCCCCGTTTCCGGCCAATGGGAGCAGCAGGGGGGGCATGCCTGGAAGCCAGGGCAACACACGGACGGAGCCCTCTGCTTCTCCCTCCCCCCCGGCCTCAGGGACGTGATGCCAGCCGGCGCAGGGCTCGAGGGGGCAATCCTGCGGGTGTAGTTTGCCCACCCCTGGCCTGGAGGTAGGCCGGAGGGGGCGGGCGTGGGCCGCAGGAAATAGCCCCGCGGGCCGCGTGTTTGAGACCCCTGGTCTAAAGCATAGGACCGAGGTCACCAGGTAGTTACCTGGATTACACTGGAATTCTCATGAAAAGACTCTACATCCAAACTGCATTTTGATACAAACCTTTTGGGATGATTCCAGAGAGAATATATGGAGATATACCTATCTCATAGAACTGGAAGGGACCCCGAAAGGTCATCAAGTCCAGCCCCCTGCCTTCACTAGCAGGACCAAGTACTGATTTTGCCCCAGATCCCTAAGTGGCCCCCTCAAGGATTGAATTTACAACCCTGTGTTTAGCAGGCCAGTGCTCAACCCGCAGCAGCTATAACATCACTGCTATGATACTGAACTATGAACACTGAAAAACACTTGAATGTATATGATCCTTTAACTATTTGATAACTCTCTTCTTTTCTTTCTTTTTTATATTATCAAACCTTTAGCTTTTAGTTACGAAAGGATTGGCATCACTGAGGTTATTGGGTAAGATCTGAGACTCATATTGACCTGGGGTGAGTGTCTGATCCTTTGGGATTGGCAGAACTTTAAGTATAGTGAATAGGGTTTTCAGTAACCTCTCATTATATTAGACTTGGTTGTCTAGATGGGAGCCAAGGGCTGGGTTGCCTACAGGAAACGGTGTTTGGCTTCTTGTTAACCAGTGTGGTACTATTCTTTTGTTACTGGCTCGGTAAATCTAATTATAAATAAACCACCAGTTTTGGGGATTGTCTCCCCTATTACTTGCAGTGTGCCCTGGGTGCGGCATTCTCTGTGTGGCCCATCCAGGCACCTGCTCACACACGGGGTGTATAGAGTGACCAAGGATTTATTCTACACAAGCTAGGTAAGAGAGAAATGGACACAGAATGCTGTTTATTGTTCCAAAGGGAAAGAATTTAGGCATGTTACCTATAGTAATTACTATGCGTAAACTGTCTTTATAACTTTTAAAATATTTTTTCATGTATATATTATTGAAAGGGTTTGGTTGTCTCATCCTAGTCCCTAAAAGCTCAAATAAAACAAGAAATAATAACAAAATCCCACTACATAATTTGGCAAATGTATCAAGAGAACCTTTTTTGAACAGATGATAATCATGCAGCCTTGGGTTAGATAACTGTTACTCATTTTACCCAAACATTCTCAGGCTATTTTCATCAAGAGCCAAATCTCACTCCCTTGAGTTCAGTGAGAGTTTGCCTAAGTCGATGAGTAGGTTTGGGCCCATTCTGTTCACCTTCTTTTAAATCATTTGTCAGACTGGAACATCTAAGGGACAGGGACATTATTTCTTGTTTGATATCTTAAAGCAACATGTACAATTTTAGCACAACAAAATTAATAACGCTATACAATGCTATATACAGCAGTCATTCTTACAACTTTTTAGGTTGCCTGAGGTAGCTAGATATATTAGGTCAGTATTGGCAATATTCCTTTATGTTTAAGGATAATGTTTCCCTAAATATAGGGAACATTGCAAACACTGAGGTTGTGGTTGCTGTCCAGTTATACAAGGCAGCATTGGAAAGGTTTTGATGGCAACCAATGTAAATAATTACTACTTCTACTAATAATAATTATAACTTAATGACAACCCAAGATCTTCCCAGTAAAAGCTTGGGAGGGTGAGTAAGAAATGTGAAATATTACAAACAGCAGCACAGATCTACTTGGCAAAATGTTGTTGGAATATTTTCATTGTATTGTCCTATTGTCCTATAAAAATACGGCTCTTGGCTTTTTATATTAGCAGCTCATTAGAGACATAATTAAGCATTAGAAGGAAAGGGGTAAAAAGGATGGCAGACAAATCTTTGACATTTTCACATTAATTAGGAATGACTTTATTCAGCAAACATTTTCTCCAAGCTCTCAGGCTTAATGAAGCAGTTCAGCTGAAGGTCACATGCCAAGTGAGGCTTTAGTGCCCATTTTGTAGGGCTCTGCTGCTGAGATTTAATTGCATGAACTTGAAACAAAGCCAGGATCTTGCCATTATTAGAAAGAGCAATTAGCTTTAGCAAACCAGAGAACATATTTATGAATACAAAGTGAGTAAGTATCAGAGAGCAGGGGCCTCTTTATTCTTTGTATTCATAATCAGCTCATGAACATAAGGAACGGTTACTAACCCTACAGCAACCGTGCATCTTCAAGATGTTGTAAACATCGACCCCACTGTACAGCAACATGGGATCAGCGTCTTTGTCTGGCAGTGTCCATTGGGGCTGTGTACGCACTCTCTGCCTTCTCATGCGCCC